GACCATGGACGTCATTAGGTTGTGGGCAGTGGATGTAGCGAAAACATCGCAAATACCGAGGGTTTCGGTACGGCAAGCAAAGGAAACACCGTAAATAGCGAGGGTTTCGGCACTTGCAGAAAGCGTGAATTTGCAAACGCCGGGAACGACGACGGCACCGATATATTCGGCACCTGAAGTGACGAAAACACCGTAAATACCGATGAAATCGGCATGTCGGTTTTGCGCGTTTACGTGGCGGCGGAGCCAACAACAACAACAACAACGACAACAACGACAACAACGACAACAACAGCAACCCCAACGGAAACTCCAACGGGAACAGCAGCAGCAACAGCAACATCCGCAACCGTAACTGCAACCACAACAACACCAGCACCAATAGCCACAGCCACCAGCCGGCAGCAGCAGCAGCAGCAGCAGCAAACACCAACACCAACAACCAGAACAACAGCAAAGATGACGACGAGGAGGACGCGGACGACGACGACAAGAACGACAACAAGAAGAACATGAAGACCACCCGAATTGCCGTGAGGGTGGTAGGGACAAAGCAGCTTGGTCTTGACGTCCCAAAAAGCGCCCCCAGGTGGATCTGTGTGCAACTGAAGTGAAAAACTTTGTTAGCCATTGTTGTTGTTTTTCGGTGCGTGAACCCAGGCACAGCTGGCCAATTTCTGGCTGCCATCTTTCATCCATACTGAGAGTCGTCGGGCTGCCGATACATTCCCGGAGCTTAGCGTGCACGATGAAGGTGTCAATGTCGTTGTTTTTCCTGGCGAACGACGCACGGTCAATAGAGCTGGACGCGAGGGGCGAGGGGGCCAGGCATCGTGAGGGATGCGGATCGGGACGCGGAGGCCGCGGACGGACGCGTAGAGGGACGCGGAGGACGCGCGTCGTGAGACACATGACATAATCAGCTCAGAACCCGAGCGAAGTCGAGTGGGACGCTCAGGGCAAGGCTTGTAGCAGCTTCTGAGTTGACACGTCTGCGCCGAGGCTGACTGGGAAGCAGCGAGCTCAGAAGGAAGCTGCAGGCTGAAGGCTGAGCTCCGGCTCTCGCGGCTGCCGTAAGGCCTGGGAAAGGGAGGAGGAAGCGGAACACCGGAAGGCGGGGCAGCCGCAGGAGCTCTCTCTCTCTCTCTCTCTCTCTGTCTGTCTAGGCTGGCCGTGCCTACCATCCGATCCCCTCTGCTGAGGTGCGAGGCATTTTGGCATATCGAGGTTGTGCATGCAGACTTTCCGGCATGCCCGTTCCCCCTCGGAGGTGCTTCAGCTGCTTGGAGAGGTGCCACCAGGCGCGAGGGCGGGAGGCTCCTCTGCGGACAGAAAGCTGACAGCTTTGCAGGGCTTTCTGGCCGCTACTGCTCACGGCTGCGCCCGAGTCTCAGAGCGAGAACCGCTGCAAGAGCCGCAAGCAGCGGGCCACTGCTCTGCTGCTCTGCTAGGCGCCGAGGCGTGGCGGTCTTGGAGCTAAGAGGAAGCGTCTCTGTATAGGCCCTCTTGATGGCCCTAAGCCTAACCCTGAGGCAGCGGCGCCGAGCTTCCGCGGTGTCAGAGGCGCATGCGACTCTAGAGGACCACAGACGCTACAGTAACTTTGCTGCTCTGAGATCTGCGCAGGGCAGCGGCGGCTTGATGCGCAGGCAGGTTTCGGGCCGGCAGAGGAGCACGCACGGGAATGTGCAGCTGGCAGGTGGCTGCTCCTGGCCGCAGCTTGGCAGCCATGCCCCGCTTGAGCTGGGAATTGCGGCTGGCAGTCTCAGAGTCTGAGGTGGTCTTTCTGCTGCTTCCAGACACGGTCTAGTGACTTAGTGCTGTGCTTCTGTGAGCTGCGACTGAGACCCGAGCCCAAGCCTGGCAATTTCGTGTGGAGGCCTCACGTCAGAGGTCGCTGGCTGCGTCTCTGGCTGCGGAGCTTTCAAGCGCCCTTCCATTCAGGAGGTGGCCTCTCTAAGGGCAATTGGTGACAGGAGGATCTGCTCGCCCTGAGGGAGATCGAGTTCACGGCAGCAGAGCCCTCGGCCCTGGAGAGCGCGGAAAGCGCCAGCACAGCGACGGCTCGGAGCCGAGCCGAGTTCGACGAGGATCGTGGGGTGGGGTGGGCGGGGGGGATCCAAGAGGCGGCCTGCGCGGACGCGCTGGGGCGCTGAGATCTCAGATCAGCCGATGAGCGCCGCTGGTGGGGTCTTTTGGGGGGGGGGCCCGCACCTGCGCAGGCGCGGAGGATGAAGCCATCTCACTGGAAGTCCTCTCCCGTCGGGATCCCCAGAGCCTGCGGGGTTTGCATGACTTCCTTCCCGACATTTCTTGGCGGCAGGACGCGACATCCTGCGCTCCAGCTGCGAGACATCAGAAGCCCTCATCAAGGCCACGGCCGAAGCCTCTCCGTGTCGGCCCAGGGGCTACCACCAGATGCTCCTGGCCATTCACGAACTCCGGCAGAGAATTCGTGGGGGCCGGGCCGGTGCGGAGTGTCTCTCGCTCGAACCTCGCCCAGAAGGGCCCTCCCCCAAGCCCCAGCTCTCCGAGGACTGGACATCCACCTTGCGATCCAGAGGAGCTCCTGCAGCACACCCAGTTTATGCCTTTGAAAGCGCAGCTGAGTTTGGACTCTGCCAGGGCGCAAGCCAAACATCGTTTTACATCCAGAGCCAGGGTTCTCGTGGGTACTCAGCAACGGATGTGTATAGACACACATACCACGCAGACACGCTGTAAGCGCGAGATTTTGGGCGGGTGCACGGTTCCGGTTAGGGGCAGATGCCACCTGCTGTGCCACGGCTGAAGAGCGGTTGGCGCGTCGAGGTCTCCGCTGCAGCTTCCGGCACCGTCGCCGAATGCCTGGCGGCCGAAAGCAGCAGGACCGCAGCGGGACTGGATTGGCCCTTGGCCCTCAAGCGCCGCCCGCACTCGGAGGTACTTGGACTTGGTGAAGAGGCTCTGCAAAAAAAACCCTGCAAAAGAGATGCAGAGACGCTGCCTTCCGGCGAGGCTCCGGAGCGTTTTCTTGGCCTCTTGGCACCGGCGCCGCTCAGCTCAGCGCGCTCCGAGTCTCCGAGTGCCGACGCGCCCCGTCTCCGAGGCGCCGCGACTGCCAGGGCTGCCAGGGGCCGCTGGACCCAGAGAGGCTGAGGCCCCCCACGAGGCGCCCCGGGTCTCTCAGTGGCGAGCACGGGCTCGTTGCAGAGCCACCGAAAAGGTGTTTTGTTTTTTTTGCCGGCTTTTGCCATTGCCAAAAAAACCACTCTGAGCCACTCTCCCAACACCCGCTCCAAGTGCTTTTAAAGGCCTGGCAGGGCCTGGGAACGATTTTGGGCGACAATCTCAGCACGACTGAGTGGACTCCCAATCCCACCAGCACATGAGAGGAAAGATCTTGAGATGCCTTCCTGGTGGCGTGTTCGTGGTCTTGGTCTCTTCGGAGCATGCATGCAGCTTCCTTGTTGCGCTTTGAAAGTCTTTTGAGGTTGTTCCGGTTATGCCCTATAGGTCTGTGAGCTCGCTGGGATGGTTTCTGAGCCTTGTCACAGAACTCGGAGTGGTTGTTGTTGCTGGTGGTGGTAGTGGTGAAAAGTGTTGGCCGTTGCTGCTGTTGTTGTTGCTGCTGCTTGTTCTGTTGCTGCTGCTGCTTGTTCTGCTGCTGCTGCTGCTGCTGCTGCCGCCGCTGCTGCTGCTGCTGCTGTTGCTGTTGTTGTTGTAGCCGCCACGGTTCAGACGGTCGAACAGGTGTGGGTACCAACTTTTCCTTTCTAGAGGTCTCAACCAGGCTTCACTTCAACCTTCAGGAGTGGTCCCACCCGCGTGCCATGTGCTCCTGCTAAGACTTGCTGTCTGGACTGCCGGGTCCCATTCCCGGTCCTTTGTCTAAGACAACGCAGCACAGGGAAGGCGGTAGGGTTTCCACCTGCCGCAGGGTGGAGGGAGCCCCTGATGACTTCAGTGGCGAAAACGCGGATGGCAGTGCACTCTCAAAATTATTCTTCCTTGCGAAAACGATCCTACAAAAAGCTTGTCGCCGCGCCAGCGAGGCGCAGCAACCCGTGGCATATCGAGGACAGCAGCTGACACCGCTTCAGGTGCGCAGGTCGGGCGGTCAATGGTACCTAGGAGATGACGCATGCCCACCATCTGCCTGTCAGCTGGCTGATCCGCTGATTGCTTGCAATTGCTACCTTGTGCTACTCGAGCATCAGGCAGACTAGTCCAGAAGGCCCCAAGGGACATTACATCTCGTCCCTTCCGCAGAGGAGCCATTATGGACACTTATGGACAGTAACTCCAAGAGAGGTGAGGCACAGAGCAACTCCCGTGGAGATTCTCCCCAGAAGCGGCAGCAAGGTGGAGAAGCTCCCCTCTTTAAGGGCCGGAGCAACAAGTGCAATTGCAAGTAGCTCTCCTCTTGACAGGATCCTATCGGGAGGACCCAGCTATCAATAGTGGCTTATGCAAACTCCATCTGCGAGGAGAAACTCCCGCAGATGATGCAGGAGACCCAGTAGTAGCTTGGGCCTCAGCCGCTTCACAACCAAGACGTACGAGCGGCATCCGTCACCCAGGCACCGCAGTTGCAAAATGGTTTGCTCGCAGCCCTAAGGGGCGGAGCAGCAGCGGGCGCTGAGTCTAGACACGGCCCGCGCCTCTTCGGCGGTGCTCAGCAACCCGCTTCCAAGAAAGATTGATAAAGAAAAATCGTCGGGGACGGGGAGCAGAGCTGCTTTGAACCCAGTGAGTAGTTTGTCCAAGCTCAGTGGCGGAAGTTGCCAAGAGGAGGAGAAACTCCCCAAGGGACCGAGGCCTAAGTTGAGTCGTCGCGAAGCAAGGCTAACGAACCGAGGCATTCGAGGACTTCTCCCGCTGCGAGTGAATGAAATGATGGTGATGTTGAGGTTGATGTTGATGGTCTTTCAAGCACCACCAGAAGCCGGAGTGGTTGCGATACTGTGCGGCTGTCAAAGAACACTTGCGGCAGTCACTTGCGCTCGCGAAGCTTAAAGCCGTAAGACTTGTTGAGGCTTGTTGATGCCACGGGTTGTGCATCAAAACTATGGTTGGCTTGATGGCCTGCTCTGCCAAGTTGAAACTCAAGGACGATTGCGACTCTCGAGAATGCTGCGATGTTCGCCGACGGCAGTGCCCTTTGTAGCGACATTTGTGTCAACCGTCGTGGTCGGGAAGTTTGGAGCTCCGACTTCGAAAAGAGCGGGGAGAAATTCCTTTCAAAGTGCAAACTCCGCAAGCCACAAGCTGATTCTGAAACTCTCACCGACCACGTGGATGCGAAGCCGCGGCGAGGGGACGCATTCCGTTCTGGCCGGCAAAGCTGTGCAGAAGCAGACGAGGCAGACGCTGCCAGCAGCAGCTTCGAGGCCTTCGGCCTCGCGCTAAGTGGCCTACTGCCCTGCAGCTTGCGGATCATGGCCAGAATGCCCAAAGGCCCAAGATTTCCTTTCTCAGGCGCAAGAGCAGTTCTGAGTTGACCCACATGCCGGAACTGCACGCTAATTCGAGTTCGAGTCTTTGGGGAATGGCGGATGCGAAAGGCAACGCTCAGTCCTTGCCAGACGCTTGCTCAGAGAGAGAGGAGGCGAGAGCTTCGGTGCCTGAGGTGCTTTTCCCGAGTGCAGCGGTCTTGGGGTCGCTTTGCCTGCAGGGCCAGGACCTGAGAAAATCCCTCGGAGAGCAGCATCCGCTGCGGTGTCCGCGTCTCCGCTGCTCCGTCTCCGCAGGCGGCGCAGCCGGCTGGTCTTCGAGGCTCAGAGAGCGGAGCAAGCGAAGTGGCTGAAGCTGAGCTCTGCAGGTGACGGGGATTCCCAAGGAGGAGAAGTTTGCCCAGGACCCGAGAAGAGCTGAGAGAACCAGGAGGAGAAGAGCTCTGCTCAGAGCGGCCCTGGCCTCGGCAGGTGGGCATCGCCAGGGTCGGAGCTGACGAGGCGGATGGGCGGATGGACCCAACAAAAGCACTCCGAGCTGCACGGAAGCCCTGTGCACTCAGGCGGATGCCCTTCAGGAAGCCGCAGAGTCCAAGCTCTCTGCGAGGATCCGAGAGTGGCTCTGCAGAGCATTCCTTTTCTCTTGGCGAGTCTCTTTGCTGCCAGCGGCAAACTGGCCAAGGCTACAACCACCCTCATGGCAAACGAATTCACAGAGGGCATTTGCAGACCGTGGGTTGACTTAAGCCAACTTTCCAACGACGGGGCGCCGATTTCGCCAGGATGTCCACAGCGCTTGCCTCTACAGCACAGTTTCACATAACATAGTGATAGTGACTGCATACAGCCATAGGGCATGCTTTCGGGGGAAGGCCATGCAGCATTCCAGACCTCGTCGAGATCCGATCCCGCGACAATGGTCCAGTGAGACTCGACAACGGTCTGTTGCAACCGGGGTCTTAGTCGTTGACATCAGCATCTGGACGCATTGTGGTTGTGAATTTCAACCAATCGGGCTGGATGTTAATTGTTGCACGGAACTAACGGTAATCTTGTCGAGGTGCTTGTTTTCGTTCCTCTTCACTCCAGTGTCGTGCTCTTGCCGGTCGCTTCAGGTCTTCACGCCTTTGCTGGACGCCGTATGCTGGACGTCCTGCGGAGACATTCAGGTGCTCTTGCTTTCAAGATTCATTTCCCAGTGCAGCCCGAACTCAACAGTAGCAAAGTGCTGGTGACCAACTTTCGTGCTGTTCGTTCAGCAAGTGCCTTTTGCTGCGTTCAGCCCGTTCGTATTCTAGGTTCGCATCGCAGTAGTTGGATGCTTATGTTCAGAACGTGGATTTGCTTGCACTCCTGGATCAGGTCGTTGTTTTATGATCGGTATGCTTGTCTTGCTTTCAGTATCGCCTCTGTTGGCGTTGTAGTCATAGTCTCAAGTTTGGTCTTAGTTGTCGCAATAGTGGGTGTGTGTGTGTGTGTGTCAGCTTGGTTACATTTCTCTTATTGTCGTTGATCCGTTCCTTGTAACTATCACACTGCGGTCACTTGCGTGTGAACTTCAACGCGATGGCAGTGGGCATAGTGGGCCAGTGCTCGTCATACCTGACTTGTGGTCTCTGTTGAATGCTACCGAGTTGAACTCACCATGTTTAGGAGCTTGATGTCATGTCAATGTGTTTGTGTATAGTCGCAGAGTAAGCACTTCGATGTCATGGACCCTGAATGACGAAACATACCGTAGGCGCCCTTGGACTCGAGTGAAAAAGTGTGCTAGTTACTTTGCGCAGCTGTGCCTCCGAATTGCCGCAAAACACTTTTCTTTCATGTGCAGTGCTGGAACATTTCGAACCCCTCGGTGCGCCGAAGGGCGCGAAAGTCCAAGGCGAAAGCTTTACATGCCAATGCTAATACTACGACGACGACACTACTACTGTTACTACTACTACCTTGTCCCCCCCTG